CAGATTTTTTAAACCTGCATGTCAGTATAACAATTGAAATCTTAAAACTAAAAACTAAAACTAAATCTTACCTAAGTATAAAGGGAATTAATCGTTGCAATTGAGGATTGCAACGAATTTTGTCTGAAATTATCAATTATTTTGTTGGACATTTGTTCTAAAGTCTCAACATTGGAAATTCTATGTACTTCGGTAGTACTGTACCAGGAGAGGCAACTTCAAAATCATCTTCAGAACTTTGTTCTGAATCCTTTGAAGTGCTTTTTTCCTGGTAGTGTAACAACTAGACCATATTGGCACAGCGTAAAGCATGACCGGTCTAAAAACTTGTTTAAATATTAGAAGTTTATTCGTCAGGCAAAGTTTGGATTTCCTGTTTCTAAGAGGATACAAACATTTTATATATTTGTTACATTTGGCTTGAATGCCCTTTTTTTTTTGGTCAAGTATTAAATCGAGATATTTCACTTGGTTTGACCAGGAAATTGGAACTCCGTTCATAGTGACTATGTGACTACTACTAGGTTTCAAAGAGGAAGCGCTAGGCTTATGTGGAAATATTATATGTTGAGTTTTGGAAGCGTTGGGGGAAATCTTCCATTTTTGTAAATAAGAAGAGAAAATATTTAAACTTTTCTGCAGTCTGCTGCAAATAACACGAAGACTTCTTCGAACAAAGATTTGTGGCAACCCTGAGGCAAATCAGGGAGGTCCGAAGTGAAAATGTTGTACAATATAGGCCCAAGAATGCTGCCCTGAGGAACTCCTGCTCTAACAGGTAGTCGATTAGATTTGGAATGTTGATAATTTACCTGTAGATTTCTTTCAGTTAAATAATTTTGAACTAATTTCATAATATAAAGTGGAAAATTAAACTTTTTCAATTTAACAATCAAACCTTCATGCCAAACACTGTCTAATGCTTTTTCTATGTCTAGAAGAGCAACTCCAGTTGAATGGCCTTCAGATTTGTTTGAACGAATTAAATTGGTAACTCTTAAGAGTTGATGCATAGTTGAATGCCCATGGCGAAATCCAAACTGCTCATCTGCAAAAATTGAGTTCGTATTGATGTGAAGCATCATTCTATTTAAAATTATCTTTTCAAAAAGTTTACTTATTGATGAAAGCAAACTTATAGGGCGGTAGCTAGAAGCTTCAGCTGGATTTTTATCCGGCTTCAAAATCGAAACAACTTTTGCATTTTTCCATTTATCAGGAAAGTATGCCAAATGGAAACATCCGTTAAATAATTTTACCAAGAAAGACAAGGTACTCTTTGGGAGTTTTTTGATGAGGATATAGAAAATTCCAGCATCACCTGGAGCTTTCATATTATGAAACTTTTTAGTTATAGACCTTACTTCGTCCAAATCAGTCCTCCAGAAAACATCAAAAATATTAGCAATATTAGCTTAGCAAGTTTCTGAGCTTTTTCCAAATTTGTGATCAAAATTTTACCACCTTCTTTAAGCGCTGGAATAGGCTTTTGAAGTTTTTTTTCCTTTTTCCAAAAGGGTTTGGAACTCGGGTCTAATTTAGAAACATTATTTTCAAAAGTTTTGTTCCTCAGGGCGTTTTTTAATTTGTTTTTGCAAATCCCGCCAGATAATTTTCATGGTAGGATCGCGTGTTCTTTGATATTGTCTCCTACGGACATTTTTAAGACGGATCAAGAGCTGAAGATCGTCGTCTATTATAATTGAATCGAATTTAACCTCACATTTTGGTACTGAGGCAGCTCTTGCTTCAACTATAGAAGTAGTCAGAGATTCAAGGGCATAATTAATTTCATCTTTGGTTTGCAAAGGAATGTTTGATCAAAGTTATATCCCATAAATGTTCGATATTGCTCCCAATCAGCTCTATTGTAATTGAAAGTAGAGGTCAGCATGAGTAACCAATTGGCTACAAAGTCGACATGAATCAGTTAAGACCAAATCAATAGTTGAGGGATTTCTTGCAGAAGAAAAACATGTTGGGTTGTTTAGATATTGAATAGTGTAATAACCTGCTGAACAATCCTCAAACAGAATATGACCATTTGGATTGCTTTGAGCGTTATTCCATGAGCGGTGTTTTGCATTAAAATCACCAATAATGAAGAATTTAGACCTATGACGAGTAAGTTTCTGAAGGTCACCCTTGAGAAAAATTCTTTTGTTGGCCTACACATTGGAATGGCAAATAGGCAGCTATAAACGTAAGTTGTCTAAATTTTGCTTCAACAGAAACTCCCAAAGTTTCAAAAGCTTTGGTTTCAAATGAAGAAATAATTTTATGTTTGATTCGTCTATGAACAAAGATGGCCACGCCAATGAGGGTCCATCAAGACGATCATTTCTATAAATGAAATAATTTGCGTTCCTCTTAACCTTATGGTCAGGTTTGAGGAACGTTTAAGTTATAACGGCAATATGCACGTTATGAACTCTCAAAAAGTTAAATAGCTCGTCTTCATTATCTTTAAGAGATCCATCATTCCAATTTAAAAAAAAATTAATGTTTTAAAATCCATTACTAAATTTTAAAGTCATAACAATATTGGTTGCAAATTTTACTCCAGTTTAAATAGCATCAAACATGGAGTTAGATTTCAAGCATCTCAGAAATCATGTCAATTAATGATTTCTGTAAAAAATTCCATTTTAGGGGCAGTAATGCTTCCTAAGTCAAAATTTCCGTTAGAACTACGTTGGTTAGTATTTTGATTTCTACCCGCTGCAATAGCAGCATAGGTAGCTCCATTAACTCGCTGAACATTGTTAGCAGCGAGGGGAGTAGGTATACATGAAAAATTTGAAGCAGGGGTGATATTTGTACCTACGGGTACGAATGTAGAATTTGTTCCTCGCTGACCGTTGTTAACAGCAGAGGAATTTGTATCTGGTCGGGAACGTAGAGCGTTTCCTACCTGTCGTTTAGAACGAGATTGTAGGATCGCTTTGCGAGTCTTACATTCCCAAAAATTGGATTTATGGTTTTCACCACAATTTGAACATTTAAATTTCTTAGGATCTTCCTTCACTGGACAGTCGTTTTTGCGTGAGAGGAATCACCACAATTAATGCATTTAGCTGGCATGTAGCAATTTTAAGTTCCATGACCCCATCCCTGGCACTTACGGCACTGGGTGAGGTTTTGGAAATTTCCTCAAGTCTTCCTGAAGTGTTCCCACTTCACTTGGACATGGAGCATAAGGCTAGCTTTCTCTAATGCCTTAAGGTTGTTCAGTTCACTAGACTTGAAGTGAACTAAATAAAAATCATTAGAAATCCCGTTGCGCGAATCACCAGCACGGGATTTCATTTTCATTTTGATTACTTGGAGTGGCACAACTCCAAGTAATTTTGCCAGTTCATCTTTGATCTGATCCAGGGATTCACCACTGGGCAGTCCTTTCATGACAACCTTGAACACACGTTCAGTTTTGGTGTTATAAGTAAAAAAAAATTGGGCTGCTTCTCAGTAAGATACTTGAGAAGACATTTAAATCCGTCCAAGGTTTCAGCCAATACACGGCATTCACCCTGACGTCCAATTTGTAGTGAAAACTTAACTTTCACGAAGTTCAAAATCAAATTGATTACTCAAATTAATTTCATTAGAAGAGGGATCAAGAGTTTGCCCCTTTCTTTTGCGTTTAGGCGGCAGTAAATTTCAATCCAAATCGACTTCCAAGCAGATTACTATACGAATCTGAAGGATCGAAGAGGAATTTTCCAAATCGATATCCAAGAAGGATTACCTTGGGTAGGGTCCAAACAAGGATCGAAGAGGAATAAGAGTTGAAAAGGTAGACATTTTACAGGTTGAGCACTGAAAAGTGCTGTTTAAATTTGTTGTAACTTTAGGTAGTAGTAACACTTCCTTCAGCAAAAAGCAAATAGATCCGCACGGCAAGAAAGCACGATGCGGACTGACGAAAATGTGGTAGCTACTGCGCTGACATTCGCACCGAGAAGAATTTCATCCCAGTTCAGCAGATGTAGATCTTCCATAACGGCATCATAATGGCATCGATTGAAATCGGGATCATTTTCTATGGAGCTTCGCATGGCCAAACAAAAAACAAACGGTTTGTGGTGACGGTCAGAGGATGAAATCGTGAATGGCAAAGATGGCGAAGGCAAAGGAAGCCTCGATAATTTCAAATAATATTTGTAGATAAACATCAGAGATTCATTGGCGGCAAGATTTGAGCAAACCGAACTGTTTTGTTACAAGTTCTCAAACTCAGTTCGGTTAAAAAAACTGGAAGAATCCAGTTCAAACTAGAATGTTGGCATCACTGGTTGTGATACACTGCACTCTGGAATGGCACAGGCAGAGTGGTATGCTGGCGCTCAACGCAGAAGAAAATCTGAGTTGTAGGGATAACGAGAAACAGGAAGTCAGATGACGAGCAAATCCGCTTGTGGGACATACGAGTGAGAAAAGGGAAGATGCTGTTTCTGGTTCCGGTGTTCTCTTTGTGCCTTCGAACTAAATGCAGACTGGGTTAAAACCATCTTTAGGTTATTCCATTCGTTGTGACATTGTACATTCAAGCATTTCTCGATTACTTTTTTTCGAAGGGATGTATCTGTTTTTGTAAACAATACATTTGATCGTCGATTTGGCGTAACTGGTAGCTCACCCACTCATACTAGCACCACTATCAGGTAGGAGAAAATTTCCCTTATTTGATGGTAGTGTGTGCGTGGGTGAGCTACCAGTTGCACCCAATTGACGATCAAATGCATTTTTTTAAAAAGCAGATACGTTAATTTGAAAAAGTAATCAATATTTGATGATAATTCCACGCCCAAATTTTCAAATTTTATCTTCTATCGCAAACGTTTAAATCACCAAAATTGACAATCAACCTACAGAGCATACAATTCGTTGCGTGCCAACTCCACACTGATGCACCATTGTAAAAATGTTGCGGAATTCACTTTAATCATCATTCTTCAAATCGCCATCTCCCTCGACAAAAAAAAAAAACGTAAACTTACCTCCTAATGGACGAATAGTACTGATCCAGGAATTCCTTGGCGTGCTGCAGCACAATATCCGCCTTTCTCGGCTCCGTCCCGACGATGTTCGGCAACATCACGCTACCCATGCAAACCTCCCTGGAGCAGTGCATCACCTGTTGAGGGAACGAGAATGAAAGAGAGAGAGAGAAATGATTTAGTTCGGTCTATTTTCCCAAGACAGTTGCACTCAACAACACGTGATTTGAAAAATGAGCGGTCTTAAAGTAGGTGACACTTCAATTCCTTGCAGCATATGTGTGAGGAACTCCTAGTCCCCTTTACAGGAGTAGAAACTGTGCATCTCGAAGGAATGTGAAAGAAATATATTTAGGTAGCAACCGTAACCTTTGAGCAAACGCAATGTGTTCACGAAGTCGACAACGAGCTACCTTTTTAACGTGAAAAATAAGGGATGAAAAATTGCCGCGTTTGGTTTGAGCTGCCAGAAAAGGCAAACATAAACATTTTTCAACTGTATTTTGACTGTTCTTGTTGTTGTTGTTGTTGCACACATTTCAGCGCTTTCGCATTACCCCAATATTTAGCATACGAACATCAATGGAATCTCTTGGGTGAAGGCGTATGGATTTCGTGGATTGTTATTGCGAGGTATGAGTTGAGTCATGTGATGTAAAACGAGCATTCCTCAAAGCATGTCTGACAACAAAACGGTATTGACTCATTCCTGAATTGGCCGGTTACCTTACTTTGGTTACGAAATTGTTAACATACTGTGTATGTATTACACATTGTATTCTGAGCCGATTTCAAAGGTCAAAATATCAAATGAAAAGTAATTAAAAGTTGTTTTTAGGAAAAATATAATGTTACTAAAAAAAAGTGGGATTTCGTATTGAAAAACATTGATTGTATTTGTATGATTTTCATGGTTTGAAGACATAGGGCGCAATATGTTTTTATATTTTTCCTTGAAAATTTAGGCTACTCAAGATATAAAAAAAATCAACGGTGTGTTTTTTTTTCGTTTTTGAGTTATTTTTTTTTAAAGTAAAAAGTTTTGGGCTTTTGTTCAATACTCTTATGCGAATAGACTACCATGCGTTGTGACCATGTTACAGTCGCTATAAATCAATGGAGGCGCATAGGAGTATGGAGCGAATACCCAAAACTTGATAAACTTCAAAAAAATATAACTCAAAAACAAAATAAATCCATCGCAGATATTTGGATGTGTCGTGTAAAAAAAAAACTTTAATTTTAAAGAACAATTATAAAAAACATATTGCGCCCTCTGCCAAAAAACCATGAAAACCATAAATAAAAACAAATTCAATGAATGTTTTTAAATACAAAATCCCTATTTTTAAACATAATTATACCTTTCGTTGAAAAGACTTTTGAAAAAAAATGATTTTTTGGACGACCTTAACATGGAAATGGAGAATGGCGTCCACCAACTAACTAAAATAACATTGCCAGGAACTATTGTTCAAGCTAACAGGCAAAGTTTAGCACTGAGCTCTCCTGGAATTCTCCGGAATTCCTTTTGGAATTCACTGCGTTTAAGCTCAAGAACGGATAGTGTCCATATGTCAACATCGTCGGCTCATAACTGCTATTCATCGCATCAATTGGCATTTGACATCCTTATTTTGACTACAGAAGTAGCATCCAAAAGCACAAGGAACATTGCCACGATGCTTATATGAAGAAGGAACAGGAACGTCATGATGTCATTGAGAAGGGTTACGATTGTCCCCACCTGCCACCAACCGAATATCTCCGGGTACAAACTGAGCAAGGCCCTGGTGCAATAAATCTATAAGCTATCTTCATCAATATAAAGAGAAGCAGTCACGGAGGAGAATCTTAACCTGTCAAAGAGATTGCCTGCAAACCACACCTTAAACGGCTTATGGGATATCGTGTGAGTGAAATTGCGACCGCCGACCGCGTGCTCAGTTATGGACAGGAAATCAAGAAAGAACTACTATAGTTTTGTTAATTGGAGTATGTTATAAAGTTAAAATCACAATTAGGTTATTCATTTGTTTGAATCTAAGTCTTTGTTAAACTAGTACAACAATGTATACCTTATCTATATTTCAGCAAACAAAATTAGTCCTGCGCAAACCCATTCTGGTCTGAATACCGAACGTATCCTACCACTTCTAGTACATGGTTACACTTCCTTCCAATATCCTCTCGACGACTTCTTGCCAACCCATTCTTGATGGCGTCTCCGATCTTGTTCTTCCATGTGTAGAGGTGTGATGTGGAATACTAATTCGTAAATCAGGGATTCGGAATAAATATTATAGTTTGACTTATATGAATTGATTTATTCGGAGTTGTAATAATCACTCATCGATCTGAATAAGAAATTCCTTGTTTCCCTGATTCTAAGTTGGGAGGGACGACAATACAAGTCGTCTGGAAGAGTAAATAGTCGAGGTTTTCCCCTTCCAGCAATCGTATATAAGGCGGTTGCCTTCGAGTCAGCATTCATCTCCATCAAGCCATATCCGTGGCTGACGAAGAGTGCGTTCGACGAGTTCCTGTGAGGGGTAAGTTTCAAGCAATTGATTCCCACACCAAACTCCTGATTCGGCTCAGAAATGTTCGTAGACGCCAGTTTCAGCGGACTGGGGATCTGCACCGTAAATACGAAATGGTCGATCTGAATCGGCAGATCGCTTCCAGAATGGTCTCAATCCGGAACGAGAGTTTCGGGCGGCTCGTTCAGAACCTGGACGACCGTTCCAGACCATTCTGGAAGGTTGCCAAGGTGCTGAAGTCTCACCCCAAGCCCATTCCACCACTTAGAGTCAATGACGAACGGCTTATCACCAACGAAGAGAAGGCCAATGCAATTGGGGAGCACATTGCCCAGTCGCATTTGCTTGGCTCTACAATCCCAAGTCCACTCGAGAACCAGGTTGTGCAGTGCGTCCAGACGTTAGATGCCTCCCCTTGTGCCGTCCCTCCAGAAGAACGGATTACAGAAGAACAAATTTGCTCAGCGCTGAAACACAGTACGAACATGAAGGCTCCCGGGTTTGACGGAATATTCAACCTAGAGTTGAAAAATCTCAGCGCGAGGGTGCACTCGCTGCTGGCTGCCATCCTCAACAGATGCTTGGAGCTGCACTACTTTCCAAGCATCTGGAAGGTGGCAAAAATCATCCCGATCCGCAAACCTGGGAAAGACCCTTCACTACCGTCAAGCTACAGACCGATTAGCCTGCTCTCAGCGCTGAGCAAGCTGTTCGAAAAATTGATCCTCAGCCGACTAAACAAGTTTGTGGAGGAACATGACATTCTTCTTCCGGAACAGTTCGGGTTCCGTAAGGGGCATTCCACCAATCATCAGCTAGTGCGGGTGATGAATAACATCCGGAGTAACAAAGCTGTATCCAAGTCCACAGCCATGGCCTTGTTAGACGTCGAAAAGGCGTTTGACAATGTCTGGCACGACGGACTTATATACAAGCTTTGTAACTCCAACTTTCCACCATACCTTGTGAAAATCACCCGTAACTATCTCCAGCAAAGGTCGTTCAGGGTGTCGTTGAATAGTTCCCTTTCGGGACAATTTCCGATCCCAGCAGGTGTTCCGCAAGGGAGTCTGCTGGGACCACTGCTTTACAGCATCTACACGTCGGACATTCCTCCTCTAGGAGACGGTTGCGTGTTCTTTCTGTTTGCAGATGACACCGCGATAGCCGTCAAGGGTAGGATGCCTCGTGAAATTACGAACAAGCTCCAACGATGCCTTGACACCTTTACTGATTATGCCACCACGTGGAAAATCAAAATCAACGCCTCGAAAACCCAAGCGATCATGTTCCTTCACAGACAATCATTAAAACTTAAACCGTCTCCCTCCTGTACCGTAATAATGGATGGTACAAGGGTCGAGTGGTCCACTGATGTTACTTATCTCGGGATGTTGTTCGATGAGAAGCTCCTGTTCCGCTCGCACATAGAGAAAACCCTAGTTAAGTGCTCCGCCTTGGTTAGGTGTTTGTATCCGCTCATTTGCCGCAGATCCCGCCTCTCAAGGCAAAACAAACTGGCTGTTTACAAACAGATCATAGCCCCCGCGATCTTCTATGCCGCCCCGGTGTGGGAATCGTGCGCTCAGACCCACAGGAACAAAATCCAGGTTGCACAGAATAGAGTGTTGAGGATGATCCTAGATCGTCCATTCGACACAAGAATAGCAGACCTCCATCAAGAGGCAGAAATTCCCAAAGTAGATTCCAAAATTGATGATATGACAACTAAATTTATTCAAAAATGCAATCTTTCTGAACATGCTTTAATAAGCAATTTGTACATAGTAGGTTAAGTGTATATAGTAGAGTAGGTTAGTTTTAAGCTGTAAATAGTAGTATTAAGTAGTTTCTCTTCAAATTCTAAAAACAAAACAAACCAATCCCACCAAGGTGGTCGACCGTGTACTAAGTCTAGGACTAATTCTGTAAAACAAATTTTGAATTTTGCCCATACCTAAAGATGAAGAAAGCAATTAAATCACTTAGTAAAAATTTATATGGTAATCGTCCAAGTTAAACTAAAATAAAGATCATTTAAACTAAAAAAAAAAAGTCAGCATTCATTCCACTATCGGATGGTGAAGCGAACGGTATTCGCTTGGAAAACAGCAGCAGCAGCTCCGGGGTCGAGGTTTCCCCCATCAAGCGATCGTATATAAGGCGGTTGCCTTAGACTCAAATTCATTCCACTATCGGATGGTGAAGCGAACGGTATTCGCTTGGAAAACAGCAGCAGCAGCATCAGTATCATTAGGGTCGACATACAAAGAACGGATCGCGATGGAAGACCAGCAAGACCACTTATTCGTCAGAGCACACGGCTACACAACCAAAAATCACGACAATGGCACAGTCGGTACGACGGACAAGGAAGCAAAAAGGTAAATATTGCGCTCGTGAGGTCTCCGATGGGAAGACGGAGAGCCCCAAAAAAAAAGCATATACATAGATCTACCTCCGATGAGTAGGCGGATGTTAGATGAAGTCTTTAAAAAAAAAATAATGGTGAGGTAAACTCTGATGAGTAGGCTGTAGTTAATCATCATTATCAAAAGGCTGTAGTATACACTTCCGAATCGGCGTGATATTAG